AGAGAGAGAGAGAGAGAGAGAGAGAGAGAGAGAGAGAGAGAGAGAGATAACATCTTTTGGTTTGCTACTAAACCAAATATTGATGATCATTTATATTAACAAAAATAAGGGGTGTTGACTAATTAGTGACAATTATGTACCCTGCACAATCTTAAATTCTCAACGTCGAAAGCTACCCCCTCTAAGCATTTTTTTTTTTTTTTTCTTCTGAGTTTAAGCCTAAATCGTTCCTTTGATTCAGATAGAACAGTTTTACCAAGACAAAAATCTCCCTACAAAACCGGTACGCTTCCTTTTCCCTGTTGAAGAGTACCTAGAGAGTTTCCTGCAAAACAACATAATCCGATCCCGAAAAAGTGAAAAAATGAGCCCGACTCAATATCACGTATGCTCCATCCATTTCATTTTATTTTGTCATTTAAATTTACTGCATGCAGAGCAAGAATATCTTTTGTTGATATAGTTTATTGACAATGAAGGGCTATTCTACGTCTTCATTAAATTTAAATACAGAGACATTAGCTAACTTTGAAATCAAGACCAGTGGTAAATATTCATTTTTATATACAAAGAAATTAAGAACATTTCGAATTATCAAAAAGTTTTCGCAGCAATAAAAAAAACTTGAGGAAAACAGACTCACCTGCTTTGCCTGCAAAAGAATAAGAGTTGGACGAGTAATGAGAGCCCAGAGCATTATTCATGGAAAGCTGATAAGCTGTGTTCATGGATGGAACCGATCCTCCTGATTTGGCCACAGACTTTGCTGCAAGAACTTGATCAGGTGTTTGAGCCACAAGCGAATAAATGTCGTCCCTTGGTGCCTACAAAGTTTATAAAATTTAAGGTTCTCCATCTCACTAACTCATTCTCCAGTTGAGTACTCATCTTTAGCCCAACAAATAAAATACTTGCAGAAAACTTCTATAAGCCATACGTATCTGCCTCTTGATAGCAGATGGGGAGTGCTCGCAAACACTATAAGTCCAGAAATGTAATCATTGCCTAAAAGCATTAGAAAAATGTACTGAAGATTAAAATGCCAAGTTTTGCATCTAATTATGCTTATGTTATCAAAACAGCCAACTGTCTTCCCTTTTTTTTCTTTATTCATCTCTTTTCGTTTTACCCCTTTCGATTGTACTTCAGATAATATACGAAATAAATAACTAATTTTAAACTTACTCGCCAACTTCAATTTGTAGTTAGTGACTGAGAGGATCACTAAGATGTACAGGATTTGAAAATTTGTGTCAAAGTAAACCCACCAAAAGACTCGTGGAACTTGTTCACCAATAATTCTTTCAACTTTAATTAACTTCTAGATTCTATTTGCATAAGATACCAATTTCTTGTGTTTTTCCAATGATAAATTAGTTTTCATAAAAATGCCTCAATGCAAGTACATTAACCTAATGACTGACAGGCATTAACCTGCTCGTTGGTGCCTTGTTCATGATAAAAATTGCTTGGAGCTGAAGTTTGTGTAGGGCCTGCATTTGCTTGTGGCACTTCAACAATTGAAACCTCCTTGCTCGGCTCCCCAAAGAACATGTGAGAAATGGCTCTTCTAAGATGATGATTTCTTTGAGAATAATACATTTTGGTGGCAAGGGGAGCTGGAACATCTGATAATTTCAGGTTGACAAATTATTACCATATGGATAATTACTTCAAACAATTATCTGAACGAGAAATCAGTCTGGACTGTTGACCAAAAATTGTGAAACCGGTTTCAGATCCAAGGACAAGTAAGACACACTTTTGGCAGACTCTACTTCAAAACTAAACTTTAGAATTAACCATAAAAATAAAAAAATTAATAAAATAACAAAACCAACCCAGAAGCTAAATACATTACAAACCCAGGTATCTGATTCCCACTAAACCAGATGACGGAAATGTATCATTTACATGAATAAGCAGCCTGGTTATAATTGGTTTCAGTTAACTTATTAGTACTAATGAAGCTCCATGTTCCCACTTCTCACTGGTGCAATTACACATTTTTCACCACTTCACTTGATCCAATATAAGTAAAAATTGACTTGCAAATAAATTAACTAAAGAAAAACAGCTGCTACAGATTACCATCAAAGAACACCATCACAAGGAGCTTAGTTAAACAAAAGATATGCAACTTCATACATGTTAACCAATCTTGGGTTGTGCCTCGGTTCATGTACAAGGATGATGGAAACAGCCGGTTCTCATCCCATCCAGTCTATCTATTAAGTACTTGACTCTACTTGTCAAAACTGACGAGATAGATCAAAGGTCGGGAGACAATTGTTACTATTAAGGCCCATCCCAAGCCCATATATACTTAAGGCCCTAAGTCTATATATGTGGGCATCCTTTCACTCGTGATTCATTCATTCGTCCAAAACCCTATGGTTCGTAACATGTTATCACAACCTTACACATAGATAATTTTTTTCGATCTCACCTCCCACCCCAGTGAAATCGCCGCCTCGAGACAGACCTTCCGGCCAAGTTTTGCCGTCAGAAGCCGCGCATGTGAGTCACACGCGCTGGCGGAAGTTTCTGTCGGCCATCCCACGCGCCGGTGCGTCTCGCCGGAAAAGTGAACTAGGATTTTGGTGCTTGTGCTACCAGTGTTTTCAGTTTTGTGTTTTGGGAGGTTTTGGTGTCCGTGTCTTTGCTCTATTTCAGATCCATCACTTGTGGGGTTTAGGGCTCGTGTACTCTAATCCGTTCCGGCCATCGCCAATTTTTGTTTTTTTTCTTCTCGTCACTCTTCTGTCGTGTGCCCCTACATTGCCTGTCGCAACACCTTTATGCATATATTGCCGCGGCTCGTTGCTACATGTTTGTCAAATCATGTCGCAACTTCATGCAATTGTTATTACTCTTGATGGTCAGAATTATCGTGAGTGGGCTTTTTCGGTTCAAACTGTGTTGATAGGTTATGGTTTGGCTTTCCCTTTGACTGATGATGGACTCGAAAGGACGGCCGATAATGGCAGCTGCTGACATCAAAATATGGCAGATTAATGATGGGAACCTGACCAAGGTTCCAAATTTGGAAGGCTGTAATTTCTTAACGGCCGCAGTTTAAAGTGATGGTTTCCATCGCGTCAAGCAGTCCATGATTATAAGCCTCTCTTTTTTCTCGAATGTGGTCCTATTTGCAACAGCGCTATGTGCAGCTCTCTTGCAAACCCTTATGCAACAAATTCACGAACTCCATGTCATTGATGAGTACTACTCAACTTTTGATCGTTTGATGGGGCCATTGATCTCTATGGTACCTAAGTGCTCGATGGAGGAGTGTTCAGCACATATATTTGTTGAGAATTTCTTTATTTATCGTTGTCATGGGAGTCAACGCAAAATTTGAGTCCACTCCTTCATAACTCCTCTACTTTCATGGCCTAGGCATTAAATGATTTGATTGCTAAAGAGACTCGTCTTCATTCTCTGTTAGTTGCTACACTATCATAATGTTCTGGCAGCTCTACAAAGGACATCTTCTCAACTGCTTAGTGCACGTAGAGGTGACTCTCCAGAACCTTGCAAACATTGTGGGAAGACCGGTCATCGTGTCGAAAATTGTTTTACTCAACATCCAGAAAAGTTGACTGAGTATCGCGCATGTCGTGCTGCTCGGGCTCGTGGCACGACTTCGCTGGTCTATCTGCAGTGCAACTGATCCTCGACTATGGAGCATCTTTTCATGCGACATCTAATCACTCCCAGTTGGTTGCTTGCAAGGCAGTCCCCGATCTATTCAGACAGCTAGCTGATGGCACTTCTTGCCATATCACTGTTCTCTGTGCAATTCACGTTTTTCAATGTCTAATATCTCTTATGTTCCTAAGTTATCTATGAATATTCTTGGTCACTGATCAAAACTGTTTTGTTGGATTTGATGAGTCATCTTGTTTTATTCAGGATCGTCGAAGCGGGGCTGTGATTGGGACTGCCATCGCAAGGTTCTCCGAGTCTCTAAATCTTAGACACTTTACATCTTCCTACCGGTCTTGCCGCTCGTGTGTCATCCGTTGACTCATCTTCTACCCAACTTTCGCCAAGTGGCAGCATCATCTTGGTGATGGAGTGGGTCTTGTTTGTCTACTTTGATTAGTACTGGCTGTTTAGGTCGTACATCTATCGAGTATAGTTTTCATCGTAAAAGTTGAAAGCTCGGAAAACAGCTGCAACTCCCATAAACTATTAGTATTTCCCATTCTGCTAAACCTTTTGATCTTAGGGGGTGATTGTTCATGAATTCAACTAGTTTTTATTTGGTTTGTTTTTAACTATAGTTAGTTTTGAAAAAAAGTGGTATAGGTAGTTGTTAGTGGATATATTAGAATAATATTTAAATATAATAATTAAAGTTGATTTGATGTAAAGTAGGAGAAAAATGATTAGAAGTGATGGTTAGTTAAAATTATGTTAATGGATGAATAGTGAATTACATTTGATGTGATGTGTGAAAATGATTGGTTGATATTATTTAATTATATTGATAATATAGGAGATAGTGGGGTTGGGTTAAAGTTGAGTTAAAATTTAATTTTGATTGAGTATCTTTTTACTGTACAAACCATAAACAATCACCCCCTTATTCACTCTGATGTATGGGGTCCGTCCCCTTTTCCTACAAAAGGTGGCAATAAAAATTATGTTCTTTTTATTGATGATCATTCTCGATATACTTGGATTTATTTTATAAAACGTCGTTCTCAGTTGTGTTCCATTTATAAAGATTTTGCTCGCATAGTTCATACTCAGTTTTTCATTCCTATTCGAGTCTTTAGTTATGATTCTGGTGGTGAAAATTTGTCTAACAATTTTCGTCAACTTTTGCCCAACTCTCGTGTCCTAGTGCACATGCTCAGAGTGGTTTTGTAGAAAGAAAACATTGCATCTCATTGAGACTGCTAGAACTCTTCTCACTATCTCAACCGACAGCCATCTTCCAAACTGGTAAGTGTCCTGGTGAGGTTCTTTTTGGTAATCCACCTAGTTATGATCATCTTCGGGTTTTTGGATGTACATGCTATGTACTGCTTGCTCCTCGTGAGCACTAAACGGACTGCTGAGTCGGTTGAGTGCGTCTTTTTAGGGTATAGTTCTGAGGATAAGGGTTATCGTTGTTATGATTCTTCTGCTCGTCGCCTGTGTATATCTCGTGATGTAACTTTTATCGAGCATTGTCCTTTCTTTTATAACCCTACCACTCATCCCACATCTTCTTCTTCTTTAGAGTCTACGTCATTTTTATGTCTTCTTCCTCTTTCATTTCTTGATGATGGTGTCCCTGTCTCTTCTCCATCTTCCACTCATGATGAGCTTGCACCACCCATTTCTGATGAGCCTCCACCACATAAACAACCAATCACACAAGTCTATACTTGTAGTTCCAAAGGTCACAGAAGGTTTCAGCCTCATTCTACTACAATGGCCAGTCCTAGATAATTCTGTTTCTGATGTATCACATGGCATTCTTGGAGAGTCTGAGGTTTGTCAGAGATATATTTACGTGATCGTGCTACTATTGAGCCTCCGAGTAAGTTAGGCTTTCCACGTACGGGTGTTATTATTGATGTTTCAACCTCAGGAAAGTTCGAGTATTCTGGAGTGGCAACTAGCTATGTCAGAGGAACTTGTTGGTATTTTTGTCGTCTTCGTCGCACATTTTATGGTCTCAAATAGGTTCCTCGTGCTTGGTTTGAGCGTTTTATCTATCATACGGGCTGCTGTGGTTTCTCCCCTGTTGATCATGATCCTGTTTTGTTTATTCATCTCTCTCCACGTGGGCGTACTCTACTTTTATATGTTGATGATATGTTAATTACGGGAAATGATGCAGAACATATTTCTCATGTCAAGAATCAACTTAGTCAACTATTTCAGATGTCCGATTTGTCCCTCTTAGCTATTTTTCAAGTGATGCATTCTGTCGCGGGCTATTACCTTTCTCAGATCAAATACATACAAGACCTTGTTAGTTCGAGTATTACTGATAATCGAACAACGGTTACACCAATGGATCTTCACTTACAACTTCGTCTGGTATGCCTCTTGAGGATCCCTCTCGCTATCGACATATTGTAGGCAATCTTGTCTACCTTATTGTTACCAGGCCTAACATTACATTGCTCACGCAGTTCATATATTAATTCAATTTGTGAGTGCTCCTACTTCGGCTCATTTTTGGCATTTGCTTCGCGTGCTACGATACTTAAGGGGAACATTATCTCAGTGTTGATTATATGCTCGTGATAGTCCGCTTTAGCTTCATGCTTACTTGGATTCTACTTAGGCGAGTAATCCAACTGATCGTCGTCGTCCTGTGACAGGTTATTGCAGTTTTCTTCATTCTTCTCACATTACATGGAAGTCCAAGAAGCAGGCAGTTGTATCTTGATCTAGCATAGAGGCAAAACTTCGAGCACTTGCTACGACCACCTCAGAAATTACATGGCTTAGATGGTTGTTAGCGATTTTGGTATTCCATGTGATGATTCTACGCCTCTACTTTGTGATAATACTGGAGCAATTCAATTGCCAATGATCCAGTAAAGAGTGAACTTACAAAACACATCGGAATGCTTCCTTTACCCGATTTCACTGAAAACAATTGTTCTTCAGTACCAATGTAGTATCAATGTTATTAATGACGAATGGCGGTACATGGAGTTTTGCCAAAATTCTGTCATTACGGCCGCCATGGATGCCGTCGTGGCTGTCTATGGCGCCGCCATGACCGCCATCATTCACAAATTTTGCATAGCGGATTGTTAAAAATCCGCCACGCCATTCCACCATGGCGCCGCCATGACCGCCATTTGATAACAATGTTCAGTATGTGAGTATGTGCCGTCAGAACTGCAAGTGGCTGATTTTTTTCACCAAAGCACAAACTAGAGAGCAGGTTCGCCTTCACTTGCTCAAACTAAATGCTTTGGATCCTCCACCTCTACCTTGAGTTTGAAGGGGGGTGTTAACTATTATAGTCCCGTCCCATATATACTTAAGACCCTAAGTCTATATATATGGGCATCATCTCACTTGTGATTCATTCATTTGTACAAAACCTTAAGGTTCGTAACAACATTAACTGTAAACAAGCTAAAGTCATTTTTCACATTATTTCCATATTATATAATAGACAAAAATAATGTATTTCCAAATGTCCCTGCAATTTACGACAAAACTACATTCAATGTTTCTGATCTTCTCCTAAGAATATGGTGAAAAAGGGAATTCTTTAAAATCAAGAAACATAGCAGTATCTGAATTCCCCAACTGTAAGTTATTTCCCATGTTTGAAGGTCAAATACACAACTAAAAGTAGCTCAATTTTGCTGCCAGGTGTCAAATGTGTATGCACTTATGGCATTATTGTTCAAGTAGTGAGAATGAGACGCATATATACAATATACGTAAAGCCACTATCAACCAGCTAGGAAATATGTGCAATATGGGCAGGATAGAAACCCACTTTGCCTTCAACAGCAAATGGCAAGATAGTAGCTTTCAGGTTTCAAGTCAAACTGAAACTTAAAGCGTCTGCAATGTATGAAACATACTTCAAAGTAGGCTGACAAGCAGACAAGTCTTGGATTACATTTTAAATGGCATGAAAAGATATGCAACTTTGAAGAGGCTTGCGTGGGCCCAACCCGCAAACTTACATGATACCCTCAATAGACAACATTGAACAAGATTACGTCAGAAAAGACCAACAGGAAACACCAAAAGAGAGATTTAAGCTTCCTTGCTTCAGACAAATTGATCTGGAAATCAAATGAAACTCACGAGAGAGATGTAGAAAACTTACATGGACGAACCTCAGCAGCTGTCTTACACAGATTCTTAGTGCCTGGGTTTGATGGATTCTCGGCTGCCATCCTACAGGATAGAAACATTCAAACCAAAATATTTAATATTAACACCAAAGCATGTGAAAATTTGAAACCAAAGAAGGAAGTAGATTGTTCCCAGTTGGTCGATAAAGAGCAGAAAAAAGAAAAACAAAAACAAAACAAGTGGACTTTCATAAGATCTCCATGTTGACTTAATCAAGTTGAACAGCTGCTAATCAAATCCCAATATTTTCATAAAAAGCATCGTCATTGATCGAACCATCTCAGCAGAACTTGATAAATATAACAATTAACAAATGGTTTGACCAATGTTTCTCAGGTTTATGAGTTGATCTGGGGGACTCACAGTAATTTTACAGAGCTAGGGTTAAAATTTTCAGCTCTTGCAAACTACCAACACTTCTTAGCTTCATGCTTGCTATTTCTCATTTTCACAGCATACCTATGTTTAAAAGAAGTTCTGATTGGAATACCATATGCTAAATGTATGCGTAGCCAACTTAATTTGGAAACATAACTATTTTAAAATATGAATGAAAAAAGAAAACAAAAATATCTTTCAGCAAATGAATTATGTCTTCTACCCCCACTGATATTGGTTGTTAAGCAACTTTAAGCAGCAACTGATACAGCAATATCCAGAGAATCAATTTTTCATAATTTGAACTTAAATGGAGTAGTGACATTAAGTATATATTTAAGGAAGGAATTAAATGAGGACCTTTAGATCCAGAAGGAGTCTGCGTACCTTTTGAGAGGTTTTGATGAACCATTTGTTGCATCTTCTGAACAGTTTATGGAAGGGTTAACTCTTGACCCATTCATTTTAGGCGTTGAATTCAGTTGCATGTTTGCTGCAAAGACATAATACAATAAACAATGGCACAATGACCATGAAGAATCGATAGAAGGAAGTCATTAGATAGATCATAATCAAGTAAAATATAGTATCTGAAAGTTTTTTTTTTCTTTTCTTTCCTTGTATGTTTTCTCCATCCCCTTTGTAACTGTATGATTGTTTGCGAGTTTCTGAGACTACTACTGGAGGGCAACAGATAAAAAATAGTAAACAATCAAGCAGAATTATACATTGAACTTCAGCAGCCGTATTCATTTGAACCTTGCCCTCAACATGAGATTCTGAGGCAGCTATATTATCGGCGACCACACCATCAAACTTCCTCAGCTCTCTGAATGATGAAGCTTTTTCTATTGGAAGTTAATAAGTACAATTTTCATAAGAATATGTAACGATCAAGCAGGTCTATTGCAGCAGAACATTAGAAGTTCAGATGATATTCATACTGAAGTTGTAAGTGAAGATTGTTCAGCTTCTTACAGTTGCCTTAAATGAAGAATGTATGTTATGACAACAAAATGTTACTCAAATAAAATATAGACGAGAAAAGCAACATAAAATCATGCAAATCCTGAAACTAAAGAAATAAAAAAAAAAA